GCAGCAGGGTTTCATTCAGCAACATCTAAAATTACATAACTCATTTGTGATTCAGGTAATTCTCAGGTTTCTTTGTGAACCAATATAGAATTCAAGATTAATGATCCATTTGTCCACAAAAATAACTTTAGATTAAAATAAAAAAACGCTGTTGTGTTTAAAATGCTCTGTTATAAACTGTTCAAAACAATTCCCAACTTGAAACTATTCTACAAAGCCTCTGAGATAAAAACAGCATGGTACAGGCAAAGAAAAAGACCTGAGTATCAGTGGAATAGATTGGAAGATACAGAAACAACTCCAGATGTACTCAGCTACGTCATTTTTGACAAAGGAGCCAACCATCCTCACTGGAGGAAAAATAGCCTCTTAATAAATGGTGTTGGAAAAACTGGCTTTCAACCTGCCAAAGATTAACAGTAGACCCTTATCTTTCACCATGCACTAAACTAAAATCCAAGTGGATTAAAGATCTAAATATTAAAAAAGAAACACTAAATTATCTGGAAGATAAGTTAGGCAGAACTCTTGAAGTCATTGGCATAGGAAAAGACTTTGTGAACAAATTCTCAGAAGCATGGGGACTAGCACAAAGATTCAACAACTGGGATCTCATCTTATAAAAAAGTTTCTGCCCTGCAAAAGAAACCATCAACAGAGCTAAGAGACAGCCTACAATGTGGGAAAAAATTTAACACTGCTCCTCAGACAAAGGAATATTATCTAGAATATATAAAGAACTCATAAAAATCAGCCTCCCCAAATATAAGACCCAATTAAAAAACACGCATCTTAAATGAACAGATGTTTCTCAGACAAAGAATAAAGGGGCTAAAGGTGTAGGGAAGGTGGGATGGGTAGGGGAAGGGTAATAAGGGAAAAGAAAAAAATGTGAGATAATGAAAAGATGGAAACAGGGTGTCTGGAGATAGGGAGGGGAGGAGGGGTGAAGGGAGGGCAGGGACAAGGGGAAAAAATGAGAATCAAGACCTGTCATGTAGAGGTACAAGATCCCAACGACTGTAAGTGTACTGTATCCCTAAAATGTACCAATAAACTCAATTAAATCTGAAAAAAATGGACAAATAATTGAATTGGTAATAAAAAGGCTTTCAATAAAGAAAAACTGAGAACTAAAAAAAAAGAAGTAAAAGTATCAAATAAATATATGAAAAAATGTTTCACAACACTGGTCATTTGAAAGATGCAGATGAAAACAACACTGAGATTCCACCTCACCCCAGAAAGAATGGCTGCTATCAAGCAATGAACCAATACCAAATGTTGGCAGGGTTATGGGGAGCAAGGAACCCTTCTCCATTGTTGGTGGGCATGCAGACTGGTGCAACCACTATGGAAATCAATATGGAGATATCTCAAAGAGCTGGGACTAGAGGTTCTATTTGACCCAGCCATCCCTCTTCTGGGTATCTTTCCAAAAGAACTGAAAGAATCATATCACAGTGATACATGTGCACCCTTGTCTGTAGCAGCACATTTTGTTATAGCCGAAATTTGGAAACAGCCCAATTGCCCATCAGTTGGAGACTGAACAAAGAAGATGTGGTTTTTCTATACAATGGAATACTACTCAGCCATAAAGAATGAGAAACTAGAGTCATTCATAGGAAAATGGATGAATATTGAGGCCATACTCTTAAGTGAAATGATACCAAATGGCTTCTCTTGTGTGAGAAACTAAAAGTGTAAATAAGGTCCAAATGGTATAACTGACAATGTGAAATAGGAAGAAAAAGGCTAAAGGTTTAGGGGAAGAGGGAAGGATAGGGGAAAGGAAATAAGGGAAAAGAAAATATGAGAAAATGAAATAATAGAAACAAACTTTTTGTAAATAGGGAAGAGTGGAGGGGGTGAAGGAAGGGCAGAGGTAAGGGAAAAACACAAACTAAGACTTATCATGTAAAGTTACAAGATCCCAGTAATCAATGTAATTGTACTATATACCTAAAAAGTGCCAATAAACTCATGAGGAAAAAAAAAAAGAAAGAAAATGCTTGTGCTATTTTATAGCTCCCTAATAATGTTTTAGTTACCTGTAACTAAAAAGGTGTGATTTATTATGGTACACGAAATACATGAAAGCACACGCTGATCTTCCAGGTCTTTCCTTAAAAAGATTCATTACAATAAAATTGGCTAAGATGCAGATATTTTGCCTTTGTGTTTTTCTTTGTGGGTAATTTTGTTTCTAAACTGGATTATTTTTCAGATTAGATAAAATATAAATTTCTGACCAATTATATCTAAATTTTAGCACAATAAAATGTCTTAAATTGACTAAGATCTATAATAAATTAAGGCAAAGAATAACAGCACTAAAAAATTCAAATTCAGCTTAACTAGGCAAGCAATCTACTTTGAGATATAAATTTCCAACCTGGTTACAACCTCAATCCTACCTTCAGATATGCAAATTTAGGATTAACTATTGCACAAGTCTATTTAAAAATATGGCAATAATTTCTTTTAGGTCCAATTAGGCCTGCAGTGTGTTCCTGCTCGCCCCAGCCTTCATCCAGCCATCTGAAAGGAATAGTTAATGAGTCAGTCAGCCTGCCCTCACCTCAGACTACAACTTGTGCAGAAAGGAGCAGGGCATAGCCATGCAGTGAGACCACTTTTCCGCAGATAGCTACCAGCCGACAAATGTACAATGGATAGCCACGCAGTGAGCCTGCATTCCCACTGTTTTACCTCCCACAAACCGGTGAGAACCTGGTCACAGCACAGAGAGCCGCCACTACTATTGTCCTGCGTTCAGCAGGTATTTGACGACTGGTTAGTCACACAGTGAGCCCGCCCTGACTGGTTATGAATGTGTTAGCAACGCCTACATGCAGCAGAAACTTGAGGACCAGTTATTCATGCAGTGAGCTTGCCAGCCCCTTGGCCTGTATCCAATAGCTGGATGAGGATCGTTTAGCAACTCAGAGACACACATTTATACTGGCCATCATGCAGCAAAGAATTTTGTACCTGTTAGTCACATAGTGAGAACGATCTCAATCCATCCTTCATCCAGCAGAACTATGACCAGCAGATAATAATATAGTGAGCTCACAGTTATCCCAGGCTATATCCGCAGACTGCTTAGATCCAGTTGGTTCTGCTGTGTGCTCAACCTCACCCCAGCATGATGCCAGCCATCTGAAAAGGAATGCTTAATGAGTCAGTCGGCCTGCCCTCACCTTAGACTATAAGCTGTGGAGAACTGAGCAGGGCATAGCCATGCAGTCAGCCCGCCTTGCCACAGATAGCTACCAGCAGACAAATATACAATGGATCGCCACCCAGTGAGCCTGCACTCCCATGGTTTTGCTTCCCACAGACCAGTGAGGACCTGGTAACAGCACAGAGCCCTTACTACTATTGTGCTGCATTCAGCGGATCTTTGATGACTGGTTATGCACACATTGAGCAGGCTCTGAATTGCTTGCCTCTGGCGGACAGGTTATGGAATGGTTAGCAATGCTGTCAACAGTTCCTCTCCCCTCCAGCCATACAGCGATCCTCTGAGGACTGGTCAGCGAAGCAGTGTGCTTGCCATGGTCCAGGGCTGCACCCAGTGCATGGTTTAGGAATGGGTAGGGATGCAAACATCCTTGACTCACGGAAGAGTCATACAGAGGTCTGGAGAGTAGTGGTAAAGCCACACAGCAAGGCTGCCCTCACTGCAGCTTGCAGACAGGGCTCCCATGAAGACCATTTGGCCACACAATGAGCACACCCTTGTCCCTGCTTGCACTCAGTGGACAAATGAGCAGGGCATAGCCACTGAATAGGAACGCCCTCCCCTCAGACTTCAAAGAGCAGTAGGTTGAGCAGCAAATCGCCACACAGTGAGAGTAGCAAGGGTAGTGGAAACTTTGGCCAATACCAGTTGGCCACTCCCTCAGGGTGGGTGTTTCTAGGATTTCCTATCATCAATCAGTTGGAAATTGCAGGGAACTGTGTCTGGGCCTGCCAACATCTGTTCTAGCTATAGACTCTTTCTCAAAGAGCACTAGGAAACAGAAGGAGGTGGTGGGGCACAGTGCTTCCAACAGGTTGAAGGTATTGTGCTTCTGCCACTTCTCTGTGGATTATATTCTGTCTTCTGTCTATCTGTCTCTGTCTCTCTCTTTCTCCTTCCATTGCTCCCTCTCCCAGGAATTCCGGCATGCTAGGTAAGCAAGGCTCTACCTCTGAGCCATCTCCTCACCCCTCTGATGAAATTTTGTTCATAGGATGAAGCCATTGATTTGAGCTTAGGGGTGAACATAATAGGTTGTATAGTAATAGACTGAGCTACTGCTAAACCTACTGTAACTGTAGTTGCTCTTACAGCTGTCTCCACTCATCTTAGACAAAGCAGAGACTCTCCCATTGCCCAGCCTACCACTTGGCCCATAATGAAATGACCTTAAAATGGTCTGCACATTCTGTGAAATCGGAGTGAGTGGTCTCCCATCACTTGTGCATCTGGAAGTATTTGTGCCTGTGTTGGCTCTGCCACTGTAAAAGAAGCTGTGTTCTTAGTATTTGGGGAAGAAATCCTGAGGTTCCCAAGCTTTGTAGTTTCCATGCTGTGTAGTGAAACAATGCCAACAGAATTATGATCTCTGTTCATTTTTACTCTGTATTTATGGTACTATATTGTCAGTTTCTGTATATATACACTTTTCTGTAATATTCCTTCCCCTCAAAACAAGAGGATTCTGCCAGATTTGGAGGTATATACCAATAATCTTGGCACTTTGGAGGCTGAGGCAGGATAATCGTAAGCTTAAGGCTAACCTGGACTATATAATGAGACCTGAGGGGGGATGAACTCTGTAGTGAAGTGAAGGCAACCATTTGTTTCAGTTGAGCAGACAGGCAGGCCAAGCAAGTGAAGAGAGAAGAATATATAACCAGGAGTGTATTGGGAGAAGGGAAATGGATTCTTCTGAATAGTTCACAGCATTCACATTGATCTTCTAGTGTTACTAGAGAGAAAAATGTCTTCAGATAGCCACTGGTCAGCACATGAGGATGAAGGCCAACTATCCCGACTGATCAGGAAATCCAGAGACTCCCCCTTTGTCCCTGTAGGTAAGTATAAGCCTTGGATGAATACTGGAAAGTGTAATGACACAATAATGCCTTACCCTAGATCTTTTAAGGATCGAAATGTTCCATATAATTGAATTTTTCAGCTAATTAAAGCTAACCTCCTTTAAGTATTAATATGAGTCGGGCTTTCAGAGTAGTTTCTAATAAACGATGTTACCTATCATTCGTTAATGCATTAAATTTTATTCTGTTGTATGCATTTCATTAGACATCTACCTAAAACTCTTAGTTCCCGACCAATCAAATGGAACCCATTGAATGGACTTAAACTCGTCTGTCATGACTCAGTGTTAGCAACAGCAGCACAGCTTATTTTTAGATCTATGAAGGGCAGAGTGTCTGCGAAGGGCTGCTGAAATGTATGTCTCTTTGTAACGCTGACCTTTACGGTCCTGTGTCTGCTGTTTATGGATTTTTCTATTTCTTCCATTACTATTGGGAACCATTAAAAAACTTCTGCTTCTAATGTTCTGTGGCACCAAAGTGAGATGCTCAGAATTGAAAGACCTGTGAATCAACTCAGGGTAAAGCTCTGCTGGGAAGCCTGGGATTCCCTGTACACTTGAGAGATTAAACTATAGCTATTCACTGGCTCTTTTCCTGATTGCTAAGTGAACTTTGAATTCAAGAAGTGGCATTGTGATTAAACTTGGAGTTCTTTTTCCTCTCTCACACAATTTAGTGTATGTTTACATTTTTCCACATGTACTAGATGTAGCTGGACTTTACAAATAATTTACCTGAAACAAGGATGTAGCTCATTGGTAGAGCGCTTATCTACCATGCATCCCGGGCCCTGTACCAGAATTGGAAAAAAAATTAAACACAGACATTATGTTTTAAAATCTGAGCTTTCTCTTTCTTCACCCCTGGATACTTAAACTGCCTTGAGTGTTATTATCACATACCACAGCCAGGCTTCTTTCTTTGTATACGTTTCATCTAGGAACTTAAAACTATTTACCTAAATCTGACTTACATAAGTGTGAATATATCAATTCCATAAAATCTTCACAGTGACTATGAGTCATATGCACCCATTGTCACCACAACTCTAGCAAGTTTGTTTTTCTCAGTATCGGGGATTGAACTCAGGACCTTTGCACTTGCCAGGCAGGCGTGTGTGGTGCCACCAAGCTACTCCCTAGCCCAACTCTAGCAATTTTGTGTATTGTTATTCACATGTCAAAAAGAACCAAATGGGGCCTAGGATTTAGCTCAGTGGTTCTGCTGTCTGTCTTGCAAGTGGAAGGTCCTGAGTTTGATCCCCAGAAAACAAAACAAAACAAAACAAAGAACCAGTTGTACTTTGCAATAATATTCTGCTTAGAACTTTCACTTAAAAAAATTTCACTTAATTTGATTAAGACTTGTAAGAGCACCCGTAAGAAATGGAAGCAATGATTTATCTTCCTTATCATTTTTAACCAGAAAAACAATATAAGAACTTGGTTGCTACTTGAACAGATCCTTGTAATGAACAGAAAATTAATCACTATGCCTGTTGTACACTAAATTATTTTTCCAAAAACATTTGGGTTGATCAAAGTAGAAAGATGAAAGTGCTTCTAGCAAAATTCAATTATATGCATACTACAGAGACATAATATGAAAACTATACCCGCTCTGACTTTAATCTCCAAAAGAAACAAACCAATTTAATTAATAACAGAACCTTGATTTGATTAAGGGAAGGGACCATGTTTTTGCTAGAAAATAAATAATTATAAAATTTGGCTATATATATCATCAAATAGTTCTTTTAGCTATTGTTATTTTAACAATATCTGTAGGATATCCTGTGACAGGTTGGAGTTACTTGTGTGAATTATTTATAAAACATTTTTATTGATTATCTTAAACCATTTCATCATTATAAATATGATCTATTGGGCTGGGGGTACTATGCAGTGCTAGAGTGCTTGTCTAGCATGCTTGAGGCCCTGGGTTCAATCCCTAGCATTTCAAAATAAATTTAAAATAATAGGCAAACACATAAAATCTATTTACATCATTCAGAATTCACTCTTAAAGTCTGTGTATGCATTATAATTATATACTCATTATTTGTGTTGACAGTTTATTTAATCTTTCTTCTTTAATTTATCACTTCATATGTAGATTTATGTGTATTAACTGGCTAGTCTTACAATTTAAAAAATATTTATACTGATTTTCTTGTGTTTGGGCCATTTTACTTGTTTCATTTTTTTCGTCAGACACAGTATAGCCATAATGCATTTTGTATCATTTTCTTTTCTTTTGTTTACTTCCTTGCCGCATGTTTACAAAAGCAGAATTTCCAGGTCAGACATTGGGTGTGGTAGCACATGCCTGCAATCCTAGTTATTTGGGAGGCTGAGGCAGGAGGACTGAGAATTCAAAGTCAGTCTGGGCAATTTATCAAGACTCTGTCAAAAAAGGTGATGGGGGAGGAAGGGAGGGAGGAAAAAAGGAAGAAAGGATCGCTTGATTTCCAGATGAAAAAGCATAACCATTTATTATACATTTCTAGGGTTCTTTTTAGAAACATTTGACCAAACTTATGAAGCTTTCATATTATTCTGGTTTCCCCATATGTTTATTATCATCATTATATTGTTATTTTGTTTTCTGATGTTTTTATTTGTTTGTAGTGCATCAGTTATTTACATTTTAATTACATTTACTCCAATCAGCCTATATAATAAACATTTAAATGGAGTTATTTACTCTGATTCTTATTTTCACTTATTAAATGGACCCTGAAAGAATAAGTATATTCTCATCCACCTATAGAAGGATGCATTTGCCAATGTATTGAAAACTTCTCATTCCACAAAAAATCAATTGCATTTTTATATACGGTACTAACAACAAATAAGTGGAATCTGAAATTTAAAATATAATATTTGGTCTTCCCAAGGAAAATAAAATGCTTACATAGAAACTTAACAAAGCACGTAGGCTGAAAGTTACAGAATGCTAATGAAATAAATCAAAAGAGACAAATAGACTGCCACACTCATGGATTAGAGGACTCAATATATAGTACAGTGTCAACTCTCCCCAAGTGGATCTACAGGTTTAATATAATTCCTATTATAATTCTAGTAAGGCTTTTGCCGACAGAGACAAGCTTATTCTAAATTTTATATAGAAAGGCACAAGTTTCAGAATAGCTAGAAACTGGGACAGGGCATGTAGCTCAGTGGCATAGCACATGCCTAGCAAGTAGGAGGCCCTGAGTTCCATTCCCAGCACCAAAAACAAAACAAAACAAACAAACAAAAGGATACCTAGAAACAATCTTTTTAAAAGGGATGAAGTAGAAAGAGTCACTCTACCTGATACTGAGGCTTATTCTACAGTTGTAGTAATCAAGGTAATACAGTCATTGATGGAGAGACAGATCAATGTGAGAGAAACCAAAAATCAGACCCATACTTTTATTGTGCAAAAGTTTCATTTGTTCTTATGTCCAACATCCTTGTTTCTATAAAGTTGGCCTTATCCTCTTATAGATGTTATGAATATACTACTCTATTTCCTTCTAGTTTTTAAAACATTTTTGTTTTGCATTTAACACTTACTCATCTGAATATTTTTTGTAGGGTTTGGTGTAACATACAAATCCAAGTGAGTTCTACTAAATAAAAAGTAGTCCTAATGGCATTTATTAAGTAATTATTCTTTCTTCCATTATTTGATTATTTTTATTATTCATGAATTAAATTCTCATAGTGTTTTAAATATTCTTTGAGAAACTTTTCTATTTAGTTAATCAATTCTCTGTTTTAAAGGCAATAACAGAGGATCCTGGCTGTCACAACAGTATATTTACCCATTTACATTTGTGGAGAATAGAGAAGTGTTTGTATGGGTTTCTAGACTTTTCTAGAGTAACAGTTCTTCCCAGAGACAAATACCTCTTGTCTATGTATTAATGCCTTTTCAGCTCTCATTAAAGTTTCTTGTCTCTCCTTATTTTTTTCCAGTGCTGAGGATCAGACCCAGGGCCTTGGGCATGCTATAATGTGTCACATTCATGGAAAACAATGTTTTTATCATTTTGCTAGATTTATTCTTTATTTGGTAATAAGAAGAGTGGAATAAAGCCAGATACATGCTCAAAAGCTATGAATAATCAGGTATGGTGATGTATGCTTGTAATCCTAGCTATTTAGGAAATTGAGGCAGGAGGATCACAAGTTCAAGACCAGCCTGGGCAACTTAGTGAGGCCATGTCTCAAAATAAAATGTAAAAAGTAGGTGCTGGGGATTTAGCTCAGTGGTTCTGCTGCCTGCCTCGCAAGCTCAAGACCCAAGTTCAATTCCTGTACATAAAACAAAACAAAACAAAACCCAAAAATAAAATGTAAAAAGTTTTGGGTATATAGCTTAGTAGTAGAGTGTTTGCCTACAATGTACACAGCTCTGGGTTTAATCCCCAGTACTGGAAAAAGAAAACGAGTTATGAATGTTCAGATGTTGAGTTGTTTTACAGACTGGCTAAGTTATCTAGTTGCCCATAATAGCCTTATAGCACAAAAATCAAAATCTTGCCTCAGGAAATTACAAGTGATATTATATTATATTATTTGATACTATACTATATTATTTGGTTATTATATATATATGACTCAAGTATTTCTGAGAATAGTCAAAACTGCAAATATTGGATCCAAGAATGTTAATGACACATTTTAAAATCCAGTCCATCAAATCCAGTCTGTTTCTTTTAAAAATATCCTGTGGTATAGATTGAGTATCCTTAATTCAAAAACCTGAAATACTCCAAAATCCTAAAGGTTTTGAGCCCCAACATGATGCTACAAATGGAAAAATCTACCCCTGCCGTCACATGAAAGGTTGCAGTCAAACCACAAGTGCAGATGAGCGTGCTGGGACACACCTGAAATCCCAGCACGTGGGAAGCCGCATAGCAAGAATAAACATAACAAGGAGATGAACGAACCCTGTAATGAAAACTCAGAACTCTGAAGGAAGATATTAAAGAAGATACTAGAAAACAGAGGGCTGGGAATTTAGCTCAGTGGTTCTGTCACCTGCCTCACAAGTGGAAGGTCCTGAGTTTGATCCCCAGTACCAAAAAAAAAAAAAAAAAACCCACAGAAAGCACTACTAGCAAAGATGTGGGGGAAAGGGATCCTACATTTTTGGTAGGAATGATGTGAACTAGTACAATCACTATGGAAATCAATGTGGACTTTTCTCAAAAAATAGAAAATAGAAATTCCATTTGACCTAGATATACATTCCTCCCAAAAGACATCATACATACATGCTTATATTTATAGCACTCCAATTCATAATACCTAAACTCTGAAAACAGTCTAGATGCCCATCAACAGATCAATGGATAAAGAAAATGTGGTATTTCTATGCAATGTAATATTATTTAGCCATAAAGAAAATTAAACCATGTCATTTGCATGAAAATTTATTGGAACTCAAGACCATAATGTTAAATGAAATACATCAGGCATAGAAAATTAAATATTCCATGGTTTCCCTTACATGAGAAATCTAGAATATAAATAAATATAATAAAGGAGAAATGGCAGGAAACAAGAAAGCAGACTTTCTGGAAATGGAGAAGGGATTTGGGGGAGAAAAGAGGGGAGAGGCAGGTGAATGGATTGAAAAACGATCATGACATGTTATGCATATGTACCAATCCTCCAAAACAAATATATTTATTATGCATTGTAAGAACGCACTAATAAAAAAGTAGCAATATGATTGAAATGCTGCAAGATTCCTAAACCGGAGTTATTGTGAGATAATACAATATACTAGGATGAAGATGCAAAAGAAGCTATAAGAAGGCTTTCTGAAAATCTTTGTAACAGGGTGTTTTGAATTGAAAGAGGCTCGGCCTGGTCTTGATGCATGAGTCTTGCCTAAAGAACAGAAGACTAAATATGAGGAAGGCACTTGAAGCATATCTAGAAAAGGATATTCAGAAATTGAAAGAGAAGGAAAAGGGGACAATAAGTAATCATGTAGTTAAAATTTGAGTTGCCACTTCCCCCAGCGTATTTTTATGACATTAGTTAAACCTGAAACATGTAAGAATTATTTGCATGCTGGGGGTGTATGTAGATCAATGACAGAACATGGTAAAACACGTGCCCAGCATGTACAAGGCCCTGAGTTCAACCCCTAGTACTACAAAAATGATTCACCCACAGATGTATTACTTTAAATAAAGTCTATTGCAATGATGAAATAAAATAAAAAATATTGACTAATATTACATTCAGGTAGTGTGCATAAGGCATATGTGAAGCACAAATGAATTCGTGTTAAAACTTGGGTCTCACCCCCAAGATAGCTCATTCTATATGTGTAAATATTCCAAAACCTAAAAAACTATGGAAACCACATTTCTGGTCCTAAGCATTTTGCAAGGTAGGTGGTGGAACCACCGAGCTAAATCCCCGGCCCTCCTAAGCATTTTGGACACAGGACATCCAGGATATCAACCTGCATTTTGCCTGCTTATCTTCAAAATACTCATCCTTTACCCAGTATTCCCTTTAATTCTCTAGGCTCTTGAGAATTCTTGCCTGCTATTTATCTAACTTATACTTTTAAAATTCACAGGTATAGCAGGCTTTGTGGCTGTGGTGTCCTATGGTCTTTACAAGTTGAAGTACAGAAGAAATCAGAAAATGTCCCTTCATCTTCTTCACATGCGAGTTGCTGCCCAAGGATTTGTTGTAGGAGCTATGACTTTAGGTAAACTGCTTCATGTGGATCTTATGCTCAGTTGCCTTTGAGAGTAGTTTCATTTATTCTATTCATTTATAGAAGATTAATATCATGGTAAGATGATAAAAGAGGAGGGGTAAGAAAAACTGCTGTGTCCTCGGTTGATGTTGCTACCCAGTTATGGGCTTAATTTTTTAGCATTTTAAGCTAACAAAACCTTATAAACACTAAAAAAACTGGAGAATTGGAGGGATATGTTGGTACCCTCAATACTGAAGAAGTGGTGAACAGTTCATTTAGCCGGTACAACTCTGTGACTATACGAGCAGTGGTTACATTTCCCAGCCTACTGAACAGCAGATAATTATTAAAGTAGTTTAACTGAAAAGAACATTTTCAGACCCCATAAATTTCAACAGGCTTACTTTCCTTTTATTCCAAATATGAGCAATGAGTAAATCTGTGTTTGTTTGTTTGTTTGTTTGTGTGTTTGGCTCATGAGAGTAGGGATTAAACCTAGGGCCTTTGCACTGAGCTACATCCCGAGCCCTTTTTAATTTTTATTTTAAGGCAGGGTCTCACTCACTTTCTACGTTCCCCAAGCTGAGCTTTAACTGCAATCCTCTGCCTCCACCTCCCAGTTTGCTAGGATTATAGGCATTCACCACCTGCCCAACTCTGTTTTTAAAAAATCTTATTTTTAAAATTAATCCATAAAGCAAGTAACACCTCCACAGTCAGAACTAAAGAACAGGAGTAAAATTATTATGGTTAATTAGGGTTATACCAAGGCTAAACCTATTAGCTATTCAATTATATAAACCTAAAAAGAAATCTATTTTGGGATCTAAATTCCCTAAATTTTAAAATCTGCATTAATGAGAACAGGTCCCAGGGTCATTAGCTTCTCTTCAGGCTGTGCAGAGTGCGTATGAGTAATTCAGAACGTGGAATGATGGGTATGGGGCTTTTATACTGTGCTTATAAGGTAATTACATGTCTTATTCCTGTGAGTTGGGACATTTATGTCTTGAACCAAATACAACTAGAAGCCTTACTCAGGAGTTACAGTTCTCCTTCTCACCATTCAGCAAAGATTTAATGAACATCTCCTATGTGCCAGACATTATGTGTTGGTCCAGAGAAATAAAGGAGAGAGCTAGTCTCATAAGAGTCAGTCTTTCCTTCACAGATTTTAGTTCCTTTAGGCACAGAGAACCAAAAGAGGATGTGAAGTCACTGAAACTGTTGCAGAGGTAGCATGATTGCTGTGGAAACACAAGGACAGCACAGACCAGAGTATTCACTAGGGCTGGAAGGCTTGGGAGGCTGCTCAGGCATGTTAGCTGTGTGATGAGCTAAGAGTATGGAGGAATCTTTAACTAGGCCAAGAAGGTAAGGAGTCTGGGAAAGGAAAAAGCAGAGGTACAGAAGCATGGCAGGTTGGTGGAACTCTCCATAGCTTGTTATGGCACGTAAATCAATCAGGACTTGATAAGACAAACTGAAGGACTAGTAGTAATATTTAGAAAAGAATTTAAAATAAGTCTTTGGACTTAGGTATTATGAGGCTCTTGATTATGACTCTGGAGTGAGGGCTGAAGTGGGCAGGACAAGCAAGTAGGAAGGAGATAGATGTAAAGAGGGAGAAGCAAGGAAAATAAAGAACCACCAACGGTGAGCTAGAATACACAGGACAGACCAGAACTCTCGTGGTTTCTTTCTTCTTTTCCCCTTCCCTTTCCCTTTTCCCTTTCCCTTCTTCTCCTTCTCCTTTTCCTCCTCTTCCTCCTCCTCCTTTCTCTCTTCTGTCTCCTTAGTCTTCCTCTCCTCCTCCTTCTCCTCTTTCTGACAGAATCTTGCTATGCAGTTCAGTCTGGCCTTGAACTTACTATGTAGCCCAGGCTGGCCTTGAACTTTCAGTAATCCTCCTGCCTCAGCCTCCTGAGTATTGGGATTACAGGTGTGACACCACACCTGGCTTGGTGGTTTTCATTTTTAAGAGAATTAAGTTATTTATTGGTTACACATGATAATGAGGTGATACCCCAAGCTTCATCCTCATCTACCATTTTATCTGGTACCAGTATTCAATTTAAATATTGCATAGGATGTACCAACAATCACTTCTATAAGTAAATAATTCTGTAACTGTGTTTGGGTGAACCTTCCAATGGTGAAGGACACAGAAGGTCACAACAGTAACTGTTACTTCAACTACACCAAAGTTTCTGAGGACAATGACTTCTTACCCAATAGTTTTTTGTTTGTTTGTTTGTTTTGTTTTGTTTGTTTTTGAGACAGGGTCTCACTATGTAGTTGAGACTGACCTGGAACTCACTACGTAGCCCAGGCTGGTCTCGAACTCACAGCGATCCTCCTGCCTCAGCCTCCCAAGTGCTGAGATTATAGGTGTGTGCCACCATGAGCGGCTCACCCAAATAGCTGTAAATAAATTTCATATGGAACCTGAAATCACCTGAAGCAACTTAACATTCACAATGTAGCACAAGTTTACCAAGATGGCTTCAGAGTAAACTAACCTTATTATTTATTTATTTATTTATTTGAGTAACAGGGATTGAACTCGGGACCTTATGCTTGCCAGGCAGGTGGTGGAACCACTAAGCTAAATCCCCAGCCCCAAACTAACTTTATATAGTACATTTTTATTTTTTAAAATTTTTAAAAATTGAATTTATTGGTACATGTTAGGTATACAGTACAGTTACATTCATCATTGGGATCCTGTACCTTTACATGACAGGTCTTGGTTCTCATTTTTCCCCTTGTCCCTGCCCTCCCTTCACCCCCTCCTCCCCTCCCTATTTACAAACACTTTATTTCCATTTTTTCATTTTCTCATATTTTTTTCTTCTCCCTTATTACCTTTCCCCTACCCTTCCCACTTTCCCTACACCTTTAGCCCTTTTCTTCCTATTTCACATTGTCAATTATCTCATTAAGATCTTACATACTATTATAGTTTTTCACACCAGAGAAACTATTCGGTATTTACACATGTGTGACTTATTCATTTCACTTAGGAGTATATCCTCAATATGTATCCATTTTCCTATGAATGAATCTAATTTCTCATTCTTCATGGCTGAGTAGTTTCCACTTCATAGAAAAACCACATCTTTTGTAGGGAAAGTGGGAAGGGTAGGGGAAAGGAGAACCAAGACCTGTCATGTAAAGGTACAAGATCCCAGTAATGAATATAACTGTACTGTGTACCTAGAATGTACCAATAAACTCAATAAAAGGAAAAAAAAAAGAAAAACAAAAACAAAAACTACATCTTCTTTATCCAGTTTCCAACTGATGGGCAAATGGGCTATTTCCAAGTTTTAGCTATTACAAACTGTGTTGCTATAAACAGAGGTGTGCATATATCACTGTGATATGATTCTTTTAATTCTTTTGGAAAGATACCCAGCAGAGGGATGGCTGGGTCAAATGGAACCTCTAGTCCCAGCTCTTTGAGGTATCTCCATACTGATTTCCATAGTGGTTGCACCAGTCTGCACTCCCACCAACAATGGACAAGGGTTCCTTTCTCCCCACAACCCTGCCATCATTTGTTATTGGTTGATTTCTCGATAGCAGCCATGCTTTGTGGGGTGAGATGGAATCTCTGTGTTGTTTTCATCTGCGTCTTTCAAATGACCAGTGATGTTGAATATTTTTTCATATATTTACTTGCTGTGCTCACATCTTTGAGAAATGTCTGATCATTTCAGATGCCCATTTTTAAAAATTGAATTTATTGGTATATTCTAGGTAGACAATACAGTTACATTCATTACTGGGATCTTGTACCTTTACATGCCAGGTCTGTGTTGTTTTCATCTGCGTCTTTCAAATGACCAGTGATGTTGAATATTTTTTCATATATTTACTTGCTGTGCTCACATCTTTGAGAAATGTCTGATCATTTCAGATGCCCATTTTTAAAAATTGAATTTATTGGTATATTCTAGGTAGACAATACAGTTACATTCATTACTGGGATCTTGTACCTTTACATGCCAGGTCTTGATTCTCATTTTTTTCCCTTGTCCCCACCCTCCCTTCACCCCCTCCTCCCCTCCCCACCTTCAAACACTTTAATTCCACCTTTACATTTTCTCATATTTTCCTACACCTTTGGTCCTTTTCTTCCTATTTCACATTGCTAATTGCCCCGTTAGGATCTTGAGTACTATTTTAGTTTTTCACACCAGAGAAACTACTCAGTATTTGCATATGTGTGACTTATTTATTTCACTTAGGAGTATATCCTCAAAATGTACCCATTTACCTATGAATGAATCTACTTTCTCATTCTTTATGGCTGAGCAGTATTCCATTTTATAAAAAAAACCACATCTTCTTTATCCAGTTTCCAACTGATGGGCAGATGGTCTCTTTCCAAGTTTTAGCTATTACAAACTGTGCTGCTATGAACACGGGTATGCATATATCACTGTGATATGATTCTTTCAATTCTTTTGGAAAGATACCCAACAGAGGGATGGCTGGGTCAAATGGAACCTCTAATCCCAGTTCTTTGAGGTATCTCCATATTGACTTCCATAGTGGTTGCACCAGTCTGCACTCCCACCAACAATGGAGAAGGGTTCCTTTCTCCCCACAACCGTGCCAACATTTGTTGTTGTGTGATTTCTTGATAGCAGCCATTCTTTGTGGGGTGAGGTGAAATCTCAGAGTTGTTTTCATCTGCATCTCTCGAATGACCAGTGATGTGGAGCATTTTTTCATGTATTTACTTGCTGCTTTTTTTTCTTTGTCTGAGAAATGTCTGTTCATTTCAGATGCCCATTTTAGAATTGGGTCTTTATATTTGGGGGCTCTGGTTGTTTTGAGTTCTTTATATATTTTAGATAATAGTCCTTTGTCTGAGGAGCAGCTGATAAGTTTTTCCTACATTGTAGGTTGTCTCTTAGTTCTGTTGATGGTTTCTTTTGCAGTGCAGAAGCTTTTTAATAAATTTTAATAAGGAGATCCCAGTTGTTCATTCT